ATCCCCGGCCCACCAGCCCCGTTTTTATTGGTCACGTTCCTTTCTCTGATGTAAATGTATTGCTAAGTGAAAACAAAGCTTAACGTGTCACCTGTTGAATAAAAAGGTGAGTGTAAGGCTTGAAAGATAAGTTGGATGTGGTGGCACACACCTGGAATCCAGCACTCGGAGAGGCGGAGGCAAGAGACTCATAGGTTCTAGTCCCACCTGGACAACTCACCAAGACCCAGTCTCAAAAAAAATTTAAAAGGAGTGGAGATCTAGCTCAGTGCAAAGACCCTGGGTTCAATCCTACCACAAAATAAATAAATAACATGTTAAAAGATTGCTTTGTGTGTATTTTTCTATATTATTTTGATCTTCTTCACCCCAAGCAGGCACCACAGCCCAGTGTGGCCACAGCCAACGAGGCCCCGCAGCCCCCATGGCCTAGCATACTGGCCCCAGGCCTGTCCCTATGTCCTGACAGGAACAAGATGAAAGTTCTGCCTCAGAGAACTGTTTGTTGCCTGACCTCTGACCTTGGGGCAAGGAGCCAAAGGAGCAAACAGCTTGCAAAATGAGCCACCCAGGCACCAGGCCACAATGAAGGCTGCCCCGAGTATAGACGACCATGCTCACCATAAGATCCAGGGGCAGAAGAGCCACAGTGAGAGAGGAGCTCCCCCAGGACTGCTGGGCTGTGGGCTGAGGTCAGAGGTGAGAACTGCCTCCCAAGCCAGTAGGAGGAAGGAGCGGGTGACACTGTAACACTGCCACTGTTGCAGTGCTGGCACTTTCATTTAACAGGTGAGGGAACTGAGGCTCTGGGAGGTTAAGTAATTTTCCCAGGGATATTCAAGAGCATCTCAGAACTGAATTTGAACTGAATCTGCAGCCTTTTTGTTGTTGTTGTTGTTCTTTTTTCTTTTTTGTTTTCAGCCTTTTTGGGTTTTTTTTTTTTGTACTGGGGATTGAACTCAGGTCCTTGCGCTTGCACAGCAGACAGCGAAACCACTGAGCTAAATCCCTAGCCCATTTTTGGGTTTTTTAAGACAGGGTCTCGCTATGTAGTTCAGGCTGGCCTCAAATATGTGGCGATCCTCCTGCCTCAACTTCCTGAGTGGTGGGATTACAGGTGTGCACCACCAGGCCCCACTATAGCCTTTTTTATTTTTTATTTTGAGACAGCCTCTCACTAAATTTTCTAGACTGGCCTTGAGCCTGTGAGTCCTGCCTCAGCTTCCTGAGTAGCTGAGATTCCAGCGCATACTATCACCTCAGGGCTGATTTTGAATCCAGGGCTGTTCTGGTCACCAGCACACTGTACAACCTCCTGTTAGCTGTGGAGGGTGGGCAGCTCAGTGAGTCACTGGTATAGTTGTTACAGAATATCCAACATGTACTACTGTGAGAACCAGGTGAGCAAGACTTGGCCAAGAAAAAGCCAAGTGTGAATCACAGCAAGCCTCCCACTTGCAATGCCTGAGTGAGTCCACCTCTGATTCAGCTGCCACACTCAGCCCTTGTGGAGAGATAGACAGCAGAGAGGTTGAGGTGTGGGGGTTTCCACCCAGACTCTCCTGTTCCATTCCTGAGGCTTCCTTTTCCTGACAGGGTCAGAGTGAGCCTCAGTTTTCCCATCTGGGAAGTGGGGGTGATAACAGCAGTGCACCAGCCCCAACGGGTGTTGGGAGCAGGAAGTGAGACAATCAGCATAAAACATGCAGCCAGTGATGAGCCAATGAGTGCTCTGCCCAATCTCCTACTAAAGATGCTTGTGGGGCTGTGGCTTAGGGAGAAGCACTGAGCCCCAAAGAGTGGTGGGGTTGCTGGGTCTCAGGCTGGCCATCCCCCAGCTCCTGTCCCACAGAGAGCCCCTCCTCCCAGGGCTGCTTGCAGAACTCTCCTCATCCTTCCAGTATGCTCAGAGCCCACACGCTGCCTCCTGGTCCTGAGGTCCTGGCTCCCTGGGTGACATCGGGGTCACCTGTGGTGCCTCCTGTGTAGGGCTCTGTGGGATCCCACTCCTTTCCCCTATATATCTCTTCCCAGGGTAGACAGAGGAGTCTTTAAAAAAGGTAAACTAAGTAAAATTCTCTAAAATCTTCCTGTTGCCTTGAGAAGTAACTTAGACTTCAGACCAGGCCAGGCACTCCTTGATCTAGCCCTTGTCTACTTTCATCTCCTCCCACTCCTGCCCTCTCCCACCTCTTTCCAAGAAGCGTCTCCTCCCTGCACGGAGATCATGCCCATGCTCTGTCGCTGCCCTGCCCTTTGCCTGGGCCACCCTCCTGGGACATTTATGCCTTTGCCTCTTCCTTTTTTTTCCTTTTTTCTTTTAGTAGGGATTGAACCTAGGGCCTTTTCAAGTTTTTCTACTTTGACACAAGTTCTGGCTATGTCACTGAGTGGTCTAGGTTGGAATCAAACTTACCATTCTCCTACCTCAGCCTCCCAAGTTCTGGGGTTACTGACATGGGTCACTTCCTCCCATAGCCCTTCCCCTCCCTCAGGAGTCTCCACATTACCCTTAGTAACCAGCGATCGTTCAGCTGGGTGGCTCCCTCCCTGGCCACAACTGGGGCACAGAAAGAGGTCCTGCATCCAGTGGGCACGCGGTCAATATCCGAGACATGAATGACCGAGGCGCCTGGTACGCCCTCCACCTTCCACAAACGGATGTTTGTGTTTCCACCTACGCTCACCCCCACCACCGGCATAACCCAGCTTGCTTCCCACCTTCTGGGATCTCCCCAGAACCAAGACAGTCTCCACCAGCACGGAAGCATCCAGGCCCCGGCAGGGCCCCTTGCTGCTTGCCGCACACAGCCCTCCCCGCCAGCGCAGCCCCTCGGGCAGGAGCGCAAACGAGCCAAGCCAGCGGGTGCCGGGCGCAGCACCAGCAAGCTCACTGCGGTCCCCAACCCCGCGGAGGAGCGCCGCCCTCCTCCAGGTATTAACCGATTTCCCCCCCAGCACTGTTTGTTTTAGGGATTACAGTGAGTGGAGGAGCCTGTAATTTCCAAGCTCATCGGTTCCTTTCCTGGCAGCCAGCGCTGCATTTGCTGTTTTATTTTCCCAAGCCCCTGATAATACCGTTCCAGACATGCTGGCTTGATAGCATCGCCCAGCAGAAAGACTCTCGTGCTTTCCTGAGCTGAGGACGGGCTGGCCCCACTAAGGGACACTGCTCTGTCTTCAGCTTCTCTCAGGTCAGCCTTGCACCCATGGTTGTTTTATCTTTCCTTCTTTCCTTTTTTTCTTTTGCAGTGCTGGGGGTGAACCCAGAGCTTTGAGTGCTAGGCAATGCTCCCCACTGGGCTGTGGCCCCAGCCTCCTGTTATTTAATTTTTTAGAGACAAGGTCTCTAACTTTTGATCCTCCTGCCTCAGCTGAGTTGATGGGGTGACAAGTGTGTGCCACCACACCCAGTTTACAATTGTTTTCTTTTTATTGTCTCCTTATAAGTACCACCATGATCTCTCATTTGTGTAGTACAATCAAGAAATGGGAAACAAACAAAAAAGCTAGGAACAGTGGTGCACGCCTGTGATCCCAGCTCTCAGGAGGCTGAGGCAGGAGGATCACCATGAGTTCAAGACCAGCCTGGACTACATAAGGAGACCCTGTCTCAGAAAACCAAAAAAAAAAAAAAAAAAAAGGCTACTCCATGCAAATGAACCTTCAAAACAATGCCCTTCAAGCACTAAAACTTTTAACTGTTAAATAGATTTTAAAGCAGGTTTATTGAAGTATAACTGACATACTATAAACTGCATGTATTTAAAGCACACACCTTGAATTGTTTTGATGAACGGACACAATCAAGGTGATGAATAACATATCCATCATCCCAAGCTCCATCGGGCCCTTCCTGCCCCCGTCCTCCTCTTCCCAATCAACCACCGATTTGCTGTTTAAATTCGTACTTAATGTGCAAGTGTCTCACCCACTTCCCCAGCTACCGGTAATAAAGGCAGCACGATCCTTGATTCAGCTCCATCTCTGACATCCTGAAATTGCTGTCCTTATATGTCGTGAGGATGTGTATGACTGTTTGCCCTGAACACCCTGTGGCCCGCTGCAGGTTCCAGCTAGTGACTCCTGCTGCCTCTAATTCTTGCACATCAACCACCACCCTGTGACATTTCCATTTGTCACTGTGGATCAGAGGTTCTCAACTGGGAGTGATGTGGCAACATCTTGGGTCTTTTCCTTGTTGTCATGGGAGTGGAGGTCCTACTGCCGTTTAGAGTTTAGGGACCAGGGATGCAGTTAAACATCCTACAATGCACAGGACAGTCCCCACAATGGGACTAAAATGTCCCAAGATGTCAACCATGGAAAGGCTCAGAAACTGTTCTGGATGACAACTGGAGAACTCCACAAAAGAGTACAATGATGGTCATCTTTTCTGTATCAAGGGCCAAGGAAGGGCAGCAGGTTGTTGAAGCTGCAGGTCACAGAGGTTACAGGTTCAGGAAGATTATGGGAGTCTCAGGTGGCTCCTTCCAACTCTCCCAGAGGCAGGCTCAGCTTTCTGGGAACAAGCCCTTGGGGATGGTGCATTCAGCAGGTGCTCAGTGAAGGTCTGGCAGATAAGACTATACCCAAAGCATTTATTGGGTGCCTGCTTGTGGTAGGTAGCATTGGCTGTCCATTGCAGTTAAGGCGGAAGACACAGAGCTGGCCAAAGGAAGCTATTAAACCAAGAGGTGTCTGGGGAGAAGGGGAGGCGGGGAGGGTAAGGTCAGTGCACATGCACCCCAATACACAGGAAAATGAGAAGGGCTGGCCATGTTGGGATCTGGTCCCAACACAACCCAGTATGTCACCACCAAATCACTTCTAGCAGCCAGCTCCTCCTCCCACCCACAGACACAGCTTGCCTGTCCTATAAAGGAGGTTTCCTCAAAGTGGTTTAGCCAGAACTGGAAGGGCCCTGCCCTGTGTTGGGACAGAGCGTGACGGTGACGCTGACTCCAGCAGCCAGTGGGGGAGGGGGAGTGGCCTCAGTCGGGATGGATCCGGGGGTTCTGGGGCTCTGAGGTGAAGTGTGGGAGCACTCTGTTCACTTCTGGAGGACCTGAAGGCTTTGCCATTGCCTTGTGGGAGTTTTTGTAGACGTTCCTGGAAATGCAGGTAAGTGAAAAAGAGGAACACAAAGAGCTCTCAAGAGTCACTCTTTCAAAAATCACCAATTACAGGTTGCTGTGCACCCTTCTCTGCAGGCGTGGACCTTGTGTACATTTTGATTAAAACCAGGTGTGGGAGCTGCTGCCGAAGGCTTTGTTTGAGGTACCCGAGGTGGGGGAAGAGGCTTGAGAGGCGAGGACTCCCAAGTACCCCAAGGGGATGCTGGGCCTGGGTGACTTCAGGACTAGTTACCCAGTGGTAATTCAGGAGCCTGGAAGAGCTCCAAATCCAAGGATAGAGGGAGGCCCTTCCAGCCCGCCCGCTCCCCCCCCCAGGCCATACCCATCAGGCCTTGCTTCTCCCTTCAGGCACACGAATCCCTAACTGCTGTGTAAGACTGATAACGCTTTACCGAAGAGGACCTTGGGCTCCTAAGTCACAAGTTTAGCTCCCTCAGCCCTCAGGCCTCAGATCAGTGGGCTGGGAGTGATAAAGAGAACAATCCCTGCCCACAGGACTTGTTTCCCTCAGATAAAGGAAGCCTTCCTGCCAAAACGAGATTCTCTCTAGAGGGGGTCTCAGGGTGGTTTTCAAATTATCTGTAGCAGAATTGTTGCAACAGTACAAGTTTTGGGGAGGGGGTGTAGAGGGGGAGGAGCCTTCCTAAATTGCCCAGGTTGGCTTTGAACTAGAGATCCTCCTGCCTCAGCTCCAGAGTATTGGCATTATAGGCTTGCACCTCACACCAGACTGCAAAATATAATGTTATGTGAGACCCCCAATTGTGAGAGGGACAAAGTGGAGAGGCTCTGAGTGAAGTTCTCTCTGAGCAGCTTGATAGGTTCTGCCTTTATCGCAAGGCACTACTGGAGCAGCTGGCTGGTGGGAGAAATGGGAAGTGGCATCACTCAGGTCTGGTGGCAGCCTTGTGAACCCCAGCTTGTCACTGTCCCCCACAGCAGCTCCCCTGGGGCCAGACCCCAGGATGGGTGAGGTCCTGGCAGCCAGCATTGCTTTCTTCCTGGGCTGACCTTTCTTCTAGGCCAGGGGACAAGTGGGACTCCCAGACTAGACAGGGCCAGCCCTGTCCCTATTTCCCCTCAATGGGGTTCTCTTGCTCATAGTCTGAGGAAGAACTATGACTCACTTCCTGCCTCAGTCTCACTGCGGGAGTATTGTTCTCCCAACTGTGGTTGGTGCTGGCAGGGACTACCCCAGGGTGGCCCCTACGAGCTTGGCTCCCTGGGGGGGGAGTCCCCAAACTGGAAAGTGGCCAACTTGGACTTAGAGGCTTATCTCCCAACTTTGAGAACTCTACATTCTTCAGGTTTCCAGTTTCTATAGTGTCTGTGAGGGTGTCCCAATAGTACCTGATCCCACTATCTTAATATTATTTCCATTTTGGAGGGGTAAATTGAGGCTTTGAGAAATGAAAGTGGTCCAATACAAAATAGTGTCCGGGGATTAGAACCCAAGCTGCCTGGCTGACTTTCCAGATAATATGAGTTGCCTCCAGAATAGTATTGGGGGGGGGGGTTACTGGGAATCAAACTTGGGTCCTTGCGCTTGGGAGGCAGGCGGCGGAACCACTGAGCTAAATCCCCAGCCCCAGAATAGTATTTAACCTCTCTGGGCCTTCTCTATTAAGGTAAATGGGGATGCATAATTGGCACCTCATGGAAAATGTTCTGGGCCCATCTCTTGGGGTTTGTGGTTAGGAAAATTGAGTTTGCACATAGACCACCTCAGAGGGCGTCTGGCTCCTATAAGGCCCTCAGTGGCCTTTCTGTGTGCCATTCCTGGCAACCTGGGGGAAGAAGGCCATAGGACAGCGCTGCTGCCAGGTACCTCCCAGGGAGTGGGATGGTTGAGCGGCTAAGGCTGTGACCTTGGAATAACCCAGCCAGGAGTCTCTTGGCCACATTTTCCCTCTTTTCTTTCTCAGCTCAAGCAGTGCTGACCTCAGCCAAGTAGCGCAGACGTTTTCTAGGGCAGGAACGCAGGGAGGGAGAGGCTTCTGCTGGTATAGAGCTGGTTGGATTCCAGCTCTGCCAAAACCTCAGGTTTTTTCCAGGTTCCAGGGCCTGATAGCTGTGGGGCTCAGGGCAGAGTATTTCGTTAGGGGCCTCAGTTTCCTTATCTGAAAAATGGGATTAATAATGTCAGCCAGGGGGGATTATTGGGATTAAATCATGTACATAAGGAGAGATAATGTGAAGGGCCTGACCTAGTGCCTCATACCCCATAGATGTAGGGGAACAAAAGGTACAAAAAATTAAAAGGAGGTAGGCTACTTCTGTTTATAAATCCACCTGTCTATTCACAAGCAAATAAAATCGTGACTCCTTCCCAGTAGGCCAGGAGGTTCGCACAGCAGCCTGAGGAGGAGTGCAGAGTCCCGGGTCGCCATCCCTGGACCATGGACTCCTCCTGCGGACGGCAGGACCGTGGGGCGGGGAACGGCGGCGGCCGAGTCCTGCAGGCCGCGCTCCAGGCCCTGCCCGGCTCCTCCCAAGGACTCCGAGTTGGGGTCTCGGCGGGGCCCAGGGAGCCGCGACAGAGGCCGGGGCCGCGCGAGGCCTTGGGGATCCCTGGCCGGGCCGGTAACCCGTACTGGGGGTCGCGCTGCCGCTCGGGTCGCGGCTGGCGGGCGACTGAGCCGGGCGGGCCGGGCGGGCCGGGCGGGCGCTAGGAGGCGGCACCGGGGGGAGGGGCGCGGGGG